TACACACCCCCTGTTGTTAGTCACTAACAGTCCCCATTTACAACTATTCACCCTCCCAGCCTGATCGTTAGCAACTCCTTTGTCTGTCCAACTGTCTTTCTCTCTCTTTGGGCCCTATCCTATCGTTTACTCCCTACCCCACCCACCTCCCTATTTTCTGCATATAAACTGACGTTTTCTCAGCCACTATCAGTTCTGAGGAAGGGTCACCGGACCCGAAACGTTAACGCTGTTTTTTCCTTCACAAATGCTGCCAGACCTGCTGAGCTTTTCCCAGCAACTTTGTTTTTGTTACTGATTTACAGCATCTGCAGTTCTTTTAGTTTCTACACAGTTAGGATGGAGCTGGTTTTACAGGATGGAGGAGGGATTGGAGCTGGTGTACAGGGCAGTGAGGAGGTGAACAGAGCTGATTGTACAGGAAGCGGGTATGGATGTGATGGAGCAGTTTGTGTGGGGGGATAAGGGCAATGGAACTGATTTTGTACAGGTGGAAAGCGGTTGTACAGGGGATTGTTGGATGATACAGAGTGCGGTAATGGAGCTGGTTGAAGGGGGTTTTCGGCAATGGAGCTGGTTGAGTAGGAGTTCGGGGATGGAAGTTGTTGAACTGGGGTGTTGTGGAGTTGTTTGCACTTTCTGTAGAGTATTTTGTTGTCTAGTGATGGAGCTTGTCCTGCTCCATGATTGTGCTACAGTGTTAAAAGTGTATACAGCTGTAGAGTGAACAGTAATTGACCGTATGATGTTTGCTTCGGACTTGCAGGCGCACTGTTTACTGTATGAGTGAACTGGAGTTATGCCATGCTTCCTGGAGTCTTCTCGGTGAGGTGAGTGGTAGTTCCTCTACTGTGTATTGACTCTCTGTGCCCTTCCTATATGTTTTTAATCTACTGACCTTTCCCTCTCACTTTCAACGATGCTGTCGTGATTCATCTGCTTCAGCCTTCCCCTGCCTTACGTGTGTTTGATCTGTCTTCATTTCCCTATCATGGAATGTGGAAGTTAATAATTTTTCTGTCCTTTTTAGTTAGCCTGGTTTCCTGTATGCAGAATATCCTCATACTCCATGAAGCTTTATGCAGCAGACATCTGTTGTTTTTTCTTTTTTCATTGAAGGGATGAAGGTATCGTTTTTAGGCAGCAGTTATTGCCCATCCCTAATTGCCCAGAGGGCAGTTGAGTCAACCATATGTGGGTTTGGAGTCACCTGTAGGCCAGACCCGGTAAGGATAGCAGTTCCCTTCCCTAAAGAACACTAGTGAACCAGATGGATTTTTCTGACAATCGACAATGGGTTTGTGGTTATCACTAGATTCTGGTGTGGTCTGACAAAGAATTGATCAAGTTTTGGTGGTAACGTGGATCAGATCCTGCTTTGTCTTTATGGTGTAGCTGTTAACATTGAAAGAGAGAGCAAATTGACTTTTCCAAAACATGTGGATTGCCTAAACTGTTATGGTACAACTTAGTACACCTGTCAAGTGTTTGCAGAGTTTAGAGCAGATTTTTTTGTTGGTCTTAAAAAGGACGATTTTTGGAGAAATGCAGTTGTGTCCTTCATGTACTGGCCAGCATACCATAACTGTATGATCTCCATCTCTGCTTTATGTGCCTTTGTGTGTGTATTTTGTGGCAAATCAATACACGTATCACTTGAAAGACGCAGGCTGAGCTAAGCTAAAGTAGGCTTCACTAGCTGGAGCTTGGCTGAACTAGGCCCAACTAGGTTTCATAAACTTGTACCAGGTTCAACCATATACAGTTTACCCCATTTGCCTGAATCAGGCCCAACTAGACTTCAGAGCATTACAATGGCCTGATGCCTCCTCGGTGAGATGGAAGTTTTTCCTAAAAAGATTTTTTTTTTGATTTTGCAGTTACAGACCATCAATGGGGCAGGGAATTGTGTAATTATAATGTTGAGTTAACACAATGCCGTGGAATAAATAGTTTTGGTGTTCTCATTATGTATTCAATGTCTCCCTCCTGCTTTAAATTTAAAACTTACATCATTGATATTTTCTGTGCTTTTTAGTTATTTCCTTCCTTCATTAGTTTATCTTCATCTTGCTTCTCCACTGGCCTTATTTAATCACTGAACACCAGAGTTACTAATCTTTGTTCTTTAGAAAATAGATCTCTCGCACCAAGTCCCCATTACTTCTGTCACAGTTTGCCTATTTCTTCACGCCCTCTCTGTCCCCATCAACGCTTCCCTTTCACATCCATTAAGTTATTTCTTCATTGTTCTTTGTTCTTTTTGTGTAAAGGAGAGGAGTGGACATGATCGAGTGCACTGTTCACGTATAAGTCTTACACTCCCCGTGTCACAATGTGAACTTAAGACCAGAAGGCAGGAGGAGGCTCCTTTCACCCATCCAAGAGATCTGCTCCAGCAGTGGGACAGAGCAAATAGCCCTGTATCTGGGCCTGGGGATCATGAGCACATGTCTCCCATGACCAGGAGTAACAGCCCATCAACATCACCCACTCCCTCTGAAGACCATGCTTTACAGCATGTTAAAGACAACTTTTAGTTTTTGTTTTCTGAATCAACCACAACTCTTGAAGGTGTGAGCAAGGTGCCAGAGTCCCTTTGAAAGTTGTTCTCATGGTATTAGCAAAGGAAGCTAACAAACTGGCCAGGGGAATTGAATGTGTGGACAATGATAAGAGTTGTCCTTGTTGGTCAGTCTCTGAGTTGGAAACACAAGTCTAAAGAGTAACGTGGTGACTTGGATCTATGGATAAATAGTCCTCAGCTGCTTCAAGAAGACCATCATCCCAGTACCTAGGAAAGCACATGCAACATGCTTTAATGACTACCGTCCAGTGGCTCTGGCCTCCATAATCATGAAGTGCTTTGAGAGGCTGGTCATGGCCCACATCAACTCCAGTCTCCCAGCCCGCCTTGATCCCCTACAATTTGCCCACCGACCTAATGGGTCCACAGCAGATGCCGTTTCCCTAGCCCTGCACTCATCCCTGAAACATTTGGACAGCAAGGACATCTACGTTAGACTCCAGCTCAACAACTACAGCTTCACCTTCAACACCATTATCCCCTCCAAACTGATCTCAAAACTCAGAGATCCAAGTGAATAAAGGCAGCTACAGAGGCATGAGGGAGGAGCTGGGCAGAATTGACTGGGAGAGGAGCCTAGCAGAAAAGACAGTGGAACCGCAATGGCAGGAGTTTCTAGGAGTAATTCAGGAGATACAGCAAAAATTCATCCCCAGGAAAAATAAGCAGCGTATAGGGAGGATGAGGCAACCATGGCTGACTAGGGAGGTCAGAGATAGCATAAAAGCAAAAGAGAAAGCATATAATGTGGTGAAGGGCAGTGGGGAACCAGAGGATTGAGAAGCTTACAAAGGCCAACAAAAAAAAAAGGAGGAAGAAGATTAAATATGGGGGTGACCTAGCCAGTAATATAAAGGAGGACTATAAGAGTTTCTTTAGATATATAAAGGGCAAAAAAAGAGGCAAAAGTGGACATTGGAGTGCTGGAAAATGATTCTGGAGAGATAGTGGGGAAGAAGGAAATGGCTGAGGAACTGAATAATTACTGTGTTACTTCACATTGGAAGACACGAGTAATATCCCAAAAATTCAAGGGCCAGGGGACAGAGCTGAATATGGTGGCCGTCACCAAGGAGAAGTTGCTCGAAGTACTGGCTTGAAGGTGGATAAGTCACCAGGACCAGATGGACTTACACCTAGAGTTCTTAAGGAGATAGCTGAAGAGGTAGTGGAGGTATTATTGGTGATCTTTCAGGAATCACTAGAGTCAGGGAGAGTCCCAGAGGACTGGAAAATCGCTAACATGACACCCCTGTTTTTAAAGGGAGTAAGGCAAAAGACTGAAAATTACAGACCGATGAGGCTAACCTCGGCCATGGGTAAGATTTTAGAGTCCGTTGTGAAGGATGAGATTTCTGAATACTTGGAAGTGCATGATAAAATAAGGCAAAGTCAGCATGGCTTCATCGAGGGGAGGTCATGTCTGACAAATTTGTTAATGCTTTGAGGAAGTAACAAGCAGGTTTAATGAAGGAGAGCCAATGCATGTTATCTACCTGGACTTCAAGGAGACCTTTGATAAGGTGCCACACAGGAAGCTGCTGACTAAGATAAGGGCCTATGGTGTTAGAGGCAAAGTGCTAGCATGGATAGAAGATTGCTTTCTGCCAGAGAGTGGGGTTAAAATGGTCTTTTTCAGGATGGCAGCCAGTGGCAAGTGGTGTTCCGCAAGGGTCAGTGTTGGGACCACGACTTTTCACTTTATACATTAATGATCTAGATGAAGGAACGGAGGGCATTAAGGCTAAGTTTGCAGACGATACAAAGATAGGTAGAGGGACAGATAGTATTGAGGAGACAGGGAAGCTGCAGAAGGATTTGGACAGGTTAGGAAGTGATAGATGGAGTACAATGTGGGAAAGTGTGAGGTCATGCACTTGGGTAAGACTAAAAGAAGCATGGACTATTTTCTAAATGGGAAGAAAATTCATAAGTCTGAAGCGCAGAGACTTGGGAGTTCTAGTCCAGGATTCTCACAAGGTAAACTTGCAAGTTGAGTCAATAGTTAGGAAGGCAAATGCAAATTCGGCATTTACTTTGAGGGGGCTTGAATATAAAAGCAGGGATGTACTTCCTAGGCTCTATAAGGCCTTGGTCAGGCCACATTTGGAGTATTGTGCGCAGTTTTGTGCCCCATATCTCAGGAAAGATGTACTGGCCCTGGAGCGGGTTCAGCAGAGGTTCACAAGAATGGTCCCAGGAATGAAAAGCTTAATGTATGAGGAATGTTTGAGGACTCTGGGTCTGTACTCAATGGAGTTTAGAAGGATGAGGGGGAATCTAATTGAAATTTATGGAATATTGAATTGCCTGAACAGAGTGGACGTAGAGAAGGTGTTTCCAATGGGAGGAGAGACTAGGACTTGAAGGCACAGCCTGAGAGTAAGGGAAGACCTTTTGATCAGAGATAAGGAGAAACTTCTTCAGCCAGAGAGAGGTGAATCTATGGAATTCAATGCCACAGAAGGCTGTGGAGGCCAGGTCATTCCGTATTTTTAAGGCAGAGATACACAGGTTCTTGATTGTCAAGAGGATCAAGGGTTATGGGGAGAAAGCAGGAGGTTGGGGTTGAGAAACTTATCAGCCATGATTGAATGGCCTGATTTCTGCTCCTATGTCTTATGGCCTCATGGTCTCAGCTCTGCCCTCCGCAACTAGATCCTCAGCTTCCTGACCCACAGACCACAATTAAAGAAGATAGACAACTACACCTCTTCCACAATAACAGTCAACACTAGTGCACCCCCAAGATGTGTTCTCAGCCCCCTACTGTATTCCCTGTACACCCACGACTCTGTTGCCAAATTTCGTACAAACTCCATCTACAAGTTTGTTGACGACACTATCGTGGTAGGACGAATATCAAACAATGATGAGTCAGAATACAGGAAGGGGATAGAGGGCATGGTGATGTGGTGCAGTAATAACAACCTCTCTCGCAATGTCAGCAAAAGTAAAGAACTGATCATTGACTTCAGAAAGAAAAGAACACCACCCCCCCACCCCGCCACCATCAACATCAACGGAGCAGAGGTTCAGTGTGTAGAGACCAACAACTTGCCCTGGGCTTCCCATGTAGATGTGGCGATCAAGAAGGCACAACAGTGCCTCCTCTCCTCAGGCGGCTCAGGAAATTAGGCATGTCCATAAGGACCCTTGCCAACTTTTACAGGTACACCATAGAGAGTATACTGTCCGGGTGCAATATTGCCTGGTACGGCAACTGCTCTGCCCAGGAATGTAAGAAACTACAAAAGTTCGTGTGCATAGCCCAGACCATCACGGAGGCCAACCTCTCATCCACGGACTCAGTTTACATGCCATGGAAAGGCTGCCAATATTACTGAAGACCCATCCTATCCTGGTAATGCTTTCCTACAACTTTTTCCGTCAGACAGAGGATACAGAAGCTTGAACATGCGTCAGCAGGTTCAAGAACAGCTTCTTCCTTTCTGTCGTTATACTGATGAATGGACTCTGTAACTTCAAATAATGCTGGTCTTGTTAATGTTGATCTTGTCTCACATACAGTATAAGATGTATGCCTTACTCTGTCCAAGATTTTTGTTCACCGTATGATCTGCCTGTACTGAGGTTGTTGACTTATTTGCCAAGCTGGCTTGTTTTTGAACAAAAACAAGCCAGCTCAGGGACCAAGTCAACAACCTCATCCACAAACCAAGCTACAGATCTTTGCCAAAACTTTAAATCTGCCTGTACTGCTTGCAAGAAAACTTCACTGTACTTAGGTACACATGACAATAAATCAAGTCAAACAAAATAGTGCTGGAAGGCACCCAGGAATGGCACTGCATAACTAGTTCTGGTTGGGAAGGTGGCTGAGTCTTGAAATAGATTTTTGTCTTGTTTGACAGATTTTACAAAAAAGCTGAGGGTTTCTTCCTAGTTCCCAGAGCAATCTTTACCTCTCGACCAATGTCATTGTCACATGGCTGTGTGCAGAGCTCTTGCCATATTTTCTGATTTACAACAGTGGCTTGTAAAATGACCCTTGTAAAAGCCACTGCATCATGACACCAAGAATAAACCTCAATCTTCTGAGTTATAATAAATCTGGAAGATAGGAACCCCCTCTTCCAGAATGAACGTGGCTCCCAACCATTCTGAAAAGCATCATAGAAATGCAGTTTGATGAGCCCTTTCTCCATTGTTGGACCTGTTGACAACACAGGATTGGTGAATATATCCCATTTTAGAATTTAATGAGATTTGTTATGCCAGCATAGTAAAGGGATGAGTCTAGGATAATCTTGCTTGTCCTTTGAGTTGAAGATCTAAGTTATTTGGTAGGATCCCAATGCGGATGCAGGTGACTGCTGACCGAGCTGATGCTCTCATGATTTCCCAGCTTCTCCAGTCTCTATTCATAATTGAAATTCCACACCCCGCAACCTAATCTCTCAATTCTTTACTTCACTGTCTCTGATGCTATCATGTTCTTCGTACACTGTAGCCCCAGACCTAGACACAATAATTCAATTATAGCTGAGCCAGTGATTCATATGGGCTTAAAATTAGCTCCTTCCTTTTGGTACAGTGTCACTGTTTATAAAATCCAGTGTGCTGTATGCTTTAGGAGTTATTTTTTCTTCCTATCCTTTCATATTCAGTGATTTGTACATTATGTACCTCCAGATCTCTCTCCTCCTGCACCACTTTAATGTAGTACGATTTATTTGATGCTCTCTCTTTGTTCCTCCTCCAAAATTGAATCCCTTGCGCTTTAAATTTCATCTAATTGTCCAGCCTGTTCACCAATCTATACTCGTGCTTCTCAAAGTTTAACACTATTCTCTTCACAGTTCATAATATTTCAAGCTTTGTATCGTCTAAATTTTGAAATTGTGTCCTGTTCCCCAAATCTGTATCAATATATATCAGGAAAAGCATTGTCCTAACACCACACTTTCCCCACACCCAGCTTCCAGGAACTACAGTCCTGTCTCCAGTGCAATAAGCATCCTTTAACCACTGATCTCTGTTTTGTCTCACTAAACCAATTTAGTTTTGTGTTGTTACTGTTCCTTCAATTCAGACTTGTCTAACATGCAGTGCACAGCCAAGGTGTCATGTGTGATCTGCTGGACTTGTTCAAGATACAGGAAAATGTTACAGTCCTGCTGATGGTAATACTGGACAGGTCAGATCTGAGTAAAACCTAGCTTGAAAGACAATAAGTAGCAAAGACACAACATTGGTTATTCTCTGGTCTTCTGCAACCTCGCCTGTGGCTAAAGAGAAGACAAAGATTTCTGTCAATGCCCTAGTAATCACCATCCTTGCCTCCTTCAGTATCCTTGGATCGATCCCATCAGACACTGGGTATTTATCTACCCTAATGTTTTTCAGTATACCCAAGACGACCACAATATCAACATGTCCCAGAATGTCAACATATCCCTTACTAATTAAGGACATCACCCACACATAAATTCCCTTCTTTGTCCTTGAGTGGACCTACCCTAGTTGTCCTTTTTAGTCTTAATATACGTACAAAATGATTTGCTAAGGACACTTCATGGCCCCCATGTGGCCCTCCTAATTTCTTTGTTTTCTACTTCCTTCATATTCCTCAAGGGCCTTGTTTGATTTCAGTTTCCTAAAACTTTTCTTTTTGACAAACGTCATCCAAGGGTCCTGAATCTCGCCATCTTTATCTTTCATCTTTACAGAAACATGCTGGTCATGTACTCTGATCACCTGGCCTTCAAAAAATTTCCACATGTCAGATGTGGATTTACGCTCGTACAGTATCCTCCAATTGAATTTCTCCATTTCCTGCCTAACACTGTTGGTAATTAGCCTCCCATCTTACCAGCTTACTGCAATCCCATTCAACTTCAATTCATCTTCTGCATTAATCTGCCATTAGGGACCTTGTGAAAGGCCTTGCTAAAGTCCATATAAACAACATCTACCATTTTGCCCTTATCAATGATCTTCGTCATTTCCTGAAAATATTCAATCATGTCTGAGAGACATGACCTCTCCTGTACAAAGTCATGCTGCCTGTCGCTAAAAGTCCATATTTTTCCAAATGTGAATACACCTTGTCATTAATAATCTTTTGCAATAATTTTTCTACCACTGATGTAGGGCTCACCAGCCTGTAGTTTCCTTGATTATCCTTGTTGCCCTTCTTAAACAAGGAACAATGTTGGCTACTCTCCAGTCCTCTTAGACCTCTGCTGTCACTAAATAGGATACAAAGATTTCGTACAAAGCCCTTGCAATTTCCTTTCTCAGTATTCTGAGATAAATCCCATTATGTCCTGGGGACATCTGTACCTTGACGCTTTTCAAAACACCAAACCACCTTTTTTATATCCACGTGCCCTGGAATATCAACATACCCCTAACTATACTCACCATTCACCACATTCTTCTCCTTTGCTCCTAATATATGTGTAAAAATTCTTGGGATTTTCCTTAATCCTATTTGCCAAGGTCATTTCATGGCCCCTTTTAGCCCTCCTACTTCCTTGTTTGAGTTCTTTCCTGCTATCTCTATATTCTTTGAGGGCTCTGTCTGTCTTCAGATTCCTAAACCTACGGATGCCTTATTTTTGACTAAGCTGTCAATTTCTCTTGCCATTCAAGGTTCCCAAATCTTGCAATCCATATCCTTAACTTTCTCAGGAACACGCTGGACCTGAACTCTAAACAGCTGGCTGTGAAAAGATTCCCACATGATAGATGCGGATCTACCCTCAAATAGCATCCCCGATCTATATTCCCCAGCTCTTGTCTAATATTTTCCTAGTTACCTTCCCCTAACTTAATATTTTCAACCGAGTGCTTTCTCAATCGATAGCCACAGGAGAGGTGCTAGAAGACTAGAGGTTGGCTAACATGGTGACACTTTAAGAAAGGTGATGCGGAAAAGCCAGGGATCTGTACATCAGTGAGCCTGACATCAGTGGTGGGCAAGTTGTTTCAGGGAATCCTGAAGGACAGGATTTACATCTATTTGAAAGGGCAAGGACTGATTAGGGATGGTCAACATGGCTTTTTGCATGGGAAATCATGTCTCACTAACTTGATTGAGTTTCCTTGACGTAGTAAGGAAGAGGATTGATGAGGGCAGAGCAGTGTATGTGATCTATATGGACTTCAGTAAGGCGTTCAACAAGGTTCCTCACAGTAGATAGGTTATATCACATGGAATACAGGGATAACTAGCCATTTGGATACAGAACTGGCTTGAAGGGAGAAGATCATAGAATCACTACAGTGTGGAAACGGGCCCTTCAGCCCAACAAGTCCACACTGACCCTCGGAGCATCCCACCCAGACCCATCCCCCTATCGGCCACCTAATCTACACATCCCTGAACATTGAGTAAATTTAGCATTGCCAAGAAGACAGAAGATTGCTTTTCAGACTGGAGGCTTTTGATCAGTATTGTGGCACAAGGAACCATCTTAGGCCCACTGCTTTTCATCATTTATATAAATGATTTGAATGTGAACACAGGAGGTATTGTTAGTAAGTTTGCAGATGACACCAAAATTGGAGGTGTAGTGGACAACAAAGAAGGTTACATTGGAATACAATGGGGTCTTGATCAGATGGGCCAGTGGGCCAAGGAGTGGCAGATGGTGTTTAGTTTTGTTCGCATTGTGATGTGCTGTATTTTGGAAAAGCAAAACAGGACAGAAATTATACACTTAATGGGAAGGTCTTGGGGAGAGTTGCTGAACAAAGAGACCTTGGAGTGCAAGTTCGTCGTTCCTTGAAAATGGAGTTGCAGGTAGATAGGGTAGTGAAGAAGGCATTTGGCATGCTTGCCTTTATTGGTCAGTGCATTGGGTGTAGGAGTTGGGAGGTCATGTTGCAGCTGTACAGGATATTGGTTAGGCCACTTTTGGAGTACTGTGTGCAATTCTGGTCTCCCTGCTATAGGAAGGATGTTGTGAAACTAGAAAAGGTTCAGAAAAGATTTGAGGATGTAGCCAAGGTTGGAGGGTTTTGAGCTATAGGGAGAGGCTGAATAGGCTGGGGCTATTTTCCCCAGAGTGCCAGAGGCTGAGGGGTGACCTTTATAGAGGTTTTTAAAATCATGAGGGGAATGGATAGAGTAAATAGCCAAGATCTTTTCCCTGGGGTGGGAGAGTTCAAAACTAGGGGGCATAGGTTAAAGGTGAGAGGGGAAAGATTTAAAAGGGACCTGAGGGGCAACTTTTTTCACGCAGAGGGTGGTGCGTGTATGGAATGAACTGCCAGAGGAACAGGTGGAGGCTGGTACAATTACAACATTTAAAAGGCATTTGAATGTGTTCAAGAGGAAATGGGCCAAATGTTGGCAAATGGGACTAGATTTATCTAGGATATCTGGTTGGCATGGATGAGTTGGACCAAAGGGCCATGCTGTACACCTCTATGGCTCTCTGACTATAACTCTCTTATCCTTATCTGAAGTATTTTAAAACTTGTGGAATTATGATCACTGTTCCCGAAATATTCCCGCACTGAAACTTCAATGACTTGGCCAGGCTCATTCCCCATTACCTGGTCAAATATGATACCTTCTAAGCTTTAAATTCATCTGCCTTGCATATTTACTCCTTGCATTATAACAAATACACTTCAGACTGCCAGTCTCACTGCGTTCAGTAACCTCTCCCATCTATTCTTCCCCTTAGGTTTACTGGCCTCGTTCTCTAAGTTTTCCTCAGTCATTTAAATTACTGACCCTACTGCTCTGGTTCCCAACCCCTCCCACTCTAGCAAACTCTTTTGAATGATACTTGGAAACCTCGCTGTCAGGATATTGGTGCCCCTCCTGTTTAGATGCATTCTGACCTTCTTGTACAAGTCACAGCTGCCTCAGAAGATATCCCAATAATCTGCGTGTTGTGAGTCCTCCCTCCTACACCAGCTCTTTAGCCACACATTTCACTTTACTATCTTTGTATTCCTAACCTCACTGGCATGTGGCGCAGTGAGTAATCCTGAAATTTCAACTGAGAGGTCCGGCTTTTCTGCTTACTACCTAACATCCTGAACTCCCTTTGCAGGATCTCTTTAGTCTTCC